CTGCTCCTGTTTGTATGACCCATTTGCATTCTAGTGACAGCCTCAGTGAGACTCTTAACACTCGCAATGAGTCCTTCTATGACGGGGTCTTTTGCTGATTCTACTTTTTGTGTGTGATTTATTGTGCCTGATCCAGTTGGAAGACCTCTTTCCATTATTCTATCAGCTATACGCGCTAAATGAGATAATGAGGTTTCAGGATCTTGTGCATCCAAACAGTGTTGGACGTAGCATGGGAGAGCTTGTATCCATCCTTGTTTTAGGACTGCTTCACCCACTGTGTTATCACCCACTAAGACTTGGAGGTGACGTAGAAACTGTGACGGCGACCGATCACCTAGTGTTTCACCTTGAAAAAGTCTTTGGATTCTTTGACTATCTGATAATGATAAACGGTTTATTATATCTCGCCTTAAGATGGTGTACGGTTGTGGTGATGGTGGATCTAAAATCAAGTCACGGACTTCTTTGGCGACTGAAGGAGGAAGGATAGAACACAAATCTCTATAGCGAATCCCTTCAGATTTGATATTGTGTCTCGTGAAATAATGCTCGAGTTGAGCAAACCACAACTCAGGATCACTACGATCAAATTCTGGAAGTCGAGATTTCGTAGTCATAACAGTGTCTATCTCCACTGGTGACAAATCCTCCAGATTATGGGTTTCTTTTAAGTCTGACATGAGGTATGTGACAAATATAGCAATAAAATTAGCACGAAAAAAATGGTTTCTATGACACGAATAACTTAAGATAATAAAAAGAATAAACTATTTATATACCCAACTTAGTTTACGGATTATCAGGTCTACTTTTACGATTGAGTAAAAAAAAATAATATTAATAACAAAAATGAGGTTAATTTGTGTTCAAAAAGGGCTCACCAATTTCGTGCCTATAGATAACCCTCGTGTTATTGATAGAAGAAGCCCGACAAAAAGTGAATATTTCTTTATTTCGATCTTAGCGCAGCCACAATGGAGCGTGGGACTATCTGTTCAGACAAACAAAGGCTTTCAGCATTCGATATAAGATAATAAGGAATATAACGCTTATACAAAATAAGGAAGTGAATGAATACTTAAACAATACTGTTTTGGCATATGCTTGGTTGTTTGGGGTCAACTCTTAACCAACCAACCTATGCTGTTACATTAGCTTCCCCCTAGAATCGACTTCCGTAGGAACGTCGGTTCGATTAACCTATCTATCAAAAACACCTTAGTTCTATTTCTCATCTCAAGGGAAAATTATCAACTCACTCAATGTTTGACTTACAATAAGTGGCAACTAACGCTGTCAACGGTAGTCCATGGATGTCTCTTCATTTACTAGCTTGTCATCTTATTTTGTAGCATGTGATTTTTTCTACAACTATAGCTGACGGTTTACTGCGTGCTTTCATGAGAAAGAGTGTTAAACTGTGGAATAAGAATATCTGAGGAAGTGCCGCGTTTCTCAGACCGAATGGCATGCGTACAAACTCGAATAAACCAAAGGGTGTTGTAATAGCTGTCTTAGGGATATCTTCATCAGCCACCGGGATATTGTGATATGCCCTGACTAAGTCAATTTTAGTGAATATGTTCATACCCTGTAAACCGTTTGTGAAATCTTGGATATGCGGTATTGGGTACCTATCTGGTACGGTTTGACGGTTGAGGGCTCTGTAATCCCCACACGGTCGCCAGTCACCTTCATTCTTCTTTGGGACCATATGCAAAGGGGATGCCCATTGACTATCAGAGGGACGGATAATACCCAGTTGTAGCATATAATCGAACTCGGCTCTAGCGATTTTGAGCTTATCTGGTGCTAGTCTCCTGGGTTTTGCAAACACCGGTGCACCTTCGGTTTTGATAGTGTGACTTACTTTTAGTTTGTCTTTGGAAGGCTGTGGGTTTGGTTTGGTTAAGTTTGGAAATTCCGCGAGTATATCTTGGAATTTCGCTGTTGTTACTGGAGGGGTTTGAATCAAGTTAAGAGAGCTGATGTGACTTTCTTTGCCTTTTGTGTAAAACGAAGTTTCTTTTAGTGTTAATCGCCGTTTCTTGGTGTCAACAAGAAATTCGTATCTCTCTAAAAAGTCCATCCCCAGTATTGCCAGATCTAAGTCGGCTACCGTGAAAACCCAAGGGAATTGCCTTCTGAACCCCAAATCTAGGGTTAACGTTTTCTGCCCAAATGTCGCGATTGTAGTTTTATTTGCAGCTTGAAGTGTAATCGGGGATGTTTCTCGACTAATCTCAGTTTTATTTCGAGGGATGATGCTAGGAGCAGCGCCAGTGTCCACCAAGAAATTCAAGCCCGAGTTTCTGTCTCTGACATAAAACAAGCGACTGTTTAGGCGCCCCTCCTCAGTTGTCGCGACCTGGGGAGGGGTTACTCGTTTCCCGCTGTCTTGGAATTATGATTAGGCCAGGCGCATGGTTGCCTGCACTTGGTTGAGTTGACACCAAACTTCCAGTGGTACCAACAAAACTGCCCAGATTGTCTGGACATTTGTGAACTATTTTGTGACTTGGATCGTGATCGTTGTGGTGACCTGCTCCTGTTTGTATGACCCATTTGCATTCTAGTGACAGCCTCAGTGAGACTCTTAACACTCGCAATGAGTCCTTCTATGACGGGGTCTTTTGCTGATTCTACTTTTTGTGTGTGATTTATTGTGCCTGATCCATTTGGAAGACCTCTTTCCATGATTCTATCAGCTATACGCGCTAAATGAGATAATGACGTTTCAGGATCTTGTGCATCCAAACAGTGTTGGACGTAGCATGGGAGAGCTTGTATCCATCCTTGTTTTAGGACTGCTTCACCCACTGTGTTATCACCCACTAAGACTTGGAGGTGACGTAGAAACTGTGACGGCGACCGATCACCTAGTGTTTCACCTTGAAAAAGTCTTTGGATTCTTTGACTATCTGATAATGATAAACGGTTTATTATATCTCGCCTTAAGATGGTGTACGGTTGTGGTGATGGTGGATCTAAAATCAAGTCACGGACTTCTTTGGCGACTGAAGGAGGAAGGATAGAACACAAATCTCTATAGCGAATCCCTTCAGATTTGATATTGTGTCTCGTGAAATAATGCTCGAGTTGAGCAAACCACAACTCAGGATCACTACGATCAAATTCTGGAAGTCGAGATTTCGTAGTCATAACAGTGTCTATCTCCACTGGTGACAAATCCTCCAGATTATGGGTTTCTTTTAAGTCTGACATGAGGTATGTGACAAATATAGCAATAAAATTAGCACGAAAAAAATGGTTTCTATGACACGAATAACTTAAGATAATAAAAAGAATAAACTATTTATATACCCAACTTAGTTTACGGATTATCAGGTCTACTTTTACGATTGAGTAAAAAAAAAATAATATTAATAACAAAAATGAGGTTAATTTGTGTTCAAAAAGGGCTCACCAATTTCGTGCCTATAGATAACCCTCGTGTTATTGATAGAAGAAGCCCGACAAAAAGTGAATATTTCTTTATTTCGATCTTAGCGCAGCCACAATGGAGCGTGGGACTATCTGTTCAGACAAACAAAGGCTTTCAGCATTCAATATAAGATAATAAGGAATATAACGCTTATACAAAATAAGGAAGTGAATGAATACTTAAACAATACTGTTTTAGCATATGCTTGGTTGTTTGGGGTCAACTCTTAACCAACCAACCTATGCTGTTACAAACTCATTGATATAATTGCAGGGTATTAAGTCAGCAATTCTTCGGCCTGAATTGATCAGAGTAAAGCTACAATGGCTCGCAGCGGCAGTGCTGCGGTAGGGCTGATTTTTATCTTGTGTTGTTAAATGAGTTGAACATCAAGTTCAATGTGCTTAGTCGAATAGGTAACTAGCACCTTATAGAAGTGAAGCAAAAGTGAGGTTATTTGAGTGCTGCCGTTCGAATCGGTCATGCTGAGTACACTCTAAACAGAAATTCCTTTTAAATTACTAACTTAAGGTCATTTTAAAGTTTAATCAACTAGGACCAGGTACATAATATCGTAACCTAAAACCGCGAAAACAGGAAGGACCACAGCTTGTCCCGTATGTGTCAGGACTATCGAGTTGTCTATACAGGATATTTTCTAGCACGATGGTATTAACTTCAACATTGAACTAAATATGTAGTCCTCCGATCAAAACCTGGCCAGGATATGTAACTTATTGTTATAAATATATTCACGCGGATCCTGGGTATTGGGGGTCAACGTAACGTTAAACAACAGAAAAAAACCTGGTTCCATTCAAAAATGTCGGAGATTAGTGGACAACAAATAGCTTCTTTAGTCTCTGTTAGGAAATGAAAAAATCGCTTTTATGTGGTTAAGTTGGCCATCTATGGATGATGCTTCCAACTAATTCTCGCAATATCGAGTCATATCTGGTGTCTTTTTGGAAACTCGCAAGACCGACTAGTAAAGCTTGTGTAGTCAAAAAAGAGCTCTGAGACCAGTGTTTTTTGATATACAGGATGGTTGTGCAATAGCTGTGAATATCCAGCCGCCTAGCTGAAATTTTGTGTACCGATTAACCTTTTCACTTGAAGTTGCTTTTCACGAGCTAATAAAGAACCGCCTAACCGTGGTGTACAACACAACAGGTAGCACACGTTATCCCGATAAAGTAGCACAAACTGAAACTATGATAGCACTCCGAAAGGTAATAGTAAACGAAATACATTCCAAAGAGCAAACAATCAGGTTATGTATTACTTATTTCGCACCAAGTCTGAACCATTATAAATGTTTTTTTCGCCGAAGTGGTCAAAGCTCCCACAGTAAAGAGTTTCAAGAAAAGGATTTATGATAGGGTACGTACTCATGTCTTTCATTATTGGTTTAAACTGACTACCCAAACAAATATTAAATCTAGCCATATTAAAAATATTATTCACATAAATATTAGAAAAACAGTCAAAGATGACAGATAAAAATTAAGATTTGAAAAACTGCTAATCAATTTAGTGTTTATATGTACTGTTTTAATGTACTCTACTAGGCCATTATATCTGTCTCTTTTCAAGTGGAAATTATTTATCGACGTCGTGTTTCAGTAGATTGCTGATAATGATGTTTATTGCATTTGCATTATTTTCCAGCTTGATTCTTAGCACACACGCTGTGACACTGGAAGAGGGACTTAAGAACCCTTCCAAATATGTTCGTTATGACACAGGTATTAAAATTTCACTAATAAATCATGTATATTTGCTCTAGCTCCTAATAATACCTGGATTCATGCTCTGATTTCTCTTTGCATAACGTACGGTACGCTTACTGGATTTATACTCTGCATACACCTAGTGGTATACCTTTCAGGATCAAAGAAGAATCGTCGTTCTGCTTGATCTATTAGATAATTAGTATAGATGCTAGATATAGTTCTTTATGTTAACATTGTATTTCAATCCACATAATTTTCCAATCCATCATACATTTATTTGAGGATAAATGAGTGTTCTAATAGCCGAAACAAACATCATTTCTCTGAATTATTTTAAAATATCTCAGTGAATAAGAAAATATGCCACAAATTATGGGAGATGATGATTAACTGTATAAGTTGAATTTATATTTACGTGATTTGTACGATTAAAAATAATTTTTTTCTCGGATAATCTCAGATAATGTATAAATATACTTTGTAGACCAAAACGTTTTTTGGTATCACTGAGTCGAAGAATTGATTCATGATTAGACCTATCGTTCAAAGCATCTTTTAAATTGATCGCTCTTCAAATAAGCTTTAAAAACGCCTGGTGATTACGACATAGTTGGTGCGTGTATTTGTTTGTAAAACTTACGATTCTGACAGTTTGTTAAACATTCAAGCTTACAAATATCCAATACTTATGTCATATGGGAAATTTAGAATGAAGTAATCGGTCACTAATAGTCTGATGTAGAACATCTACGACCATTATTTTTTTCATTACTTTTAAAGGATACATAAAAATGATGACGTATATTGGTTTGTTACTTGAAAACCTTGTGGTCCATGAATTACGTGAAATTTGATTTCAGATTCAGATTTGTGTAGTAAGGACAGAAGGCCTACAGCCTATGTTATTCCTTTTCTAGTATGCTTCTGTGAGTGTCCAGTCTTCTCTTGAAAGAGTCAATTGAAGGTGCGGACACCACTGCTTCAGGCAGCAGGTTTCAAGTATTGATGACTCGGTGTGAAAACCTGTATGCCACGGGTATTTTGTTCGTTCTTGGCTTTTCTACTCGCCTGCTATGTCCTCTGAGGTGTCCCGATCTAGTGGGAAGAAAAAGAGAGAATAAGTTAGGTCCGAAATCATGTCTCAATATTCTGTACATCAATATTAGATCTCCCCTTAGTCTGCGATAGGACAGAGTAAAGAGGTTCAGTTTTTCAAGCCGCTCTTTATATGATAAACCCCGGAGTTCCGGAATCGCACGCGTAGCTGCCCTCTGCACTTTTTCTAGTATGTCTGAGTCACCTTTTAAACAGGGGCTTGCAGCCTGAACACAGTTCTCCAACTTAGTTCTCACTAAGGATGTGTATAATGTGGTGAACATGGTAGTATCAAACTTAGTGAATGTCCTTTTTAAAGCCCAGAGGGTTCGAAACCCCTTAACCGCGACCTCCCGGCAATGGGCCGTCGTCTTAAGATCATTGCTCACTGTCACCCCTAGATCCTTATGAGACCGGACTACGGGCAATGACACATCCCCTATGTTGTATGTATTAACCTTTGAATCCCCTAAGTGCATGTAGACACACTTTTCCGAGTTGACAGGCATCAGCCACTCTTTAGACCAGTTTATCATATTATTTAAGTCCGCCTGAAGAGTAAATGCGTCTTTTTCTCCAGTTATTACTCGCCAAATTTTTACATCGTCAGCGTATAATAACATTGGAGACTGTACTATACTTGTAAGATCATTAACGTACAATATAAAAAGTAAAGGACCTAGGACTGAACCTTGAGGTACCCCACTAAGTACTGGTCTCCAGGTGAAGCACTTGGAATTTATTCTTATTTTTTGCCTACGACCTACTAGGAAATCCTTAATCCATTTTAAAAGAGGTCCGGCAATACCAAGGTTTGCCAACTTCAATAGCAGTCTATTAGTTGGCACCTTGTCAAAAGCCTTACTGAAGTCTATGTAGACAACATCCACTGAGTTTCCGTTGTCTAGCGCATTAATCCAGAGCTCCCTAGCTAAAAGGAGGTTCGTTGTACAGGATAGACCCTTTCTAAAACCATGTTGTGCCATGTTCATCAAGTTATTTGTTTCCATAAATACCGTTATGGTCCGTTTGATTATGCTTTCCAGTATTTTAATTACAACACTGGTGAGGCTTACGGGTCTGTAATTCGATGGAACTTGTCGTGGACCTGTTTTATGTATGGGAGTGACGATTGCGTCCTTCCAGTCCATAGGTAACACACCTTGGTCAAGTGACATTTTGAATATCACAGTCAGTGGGGCTGCGATATATTGGGCTATATGTCTCAAGATTTTAGGGTGTAGTTCATCTGGTCCTGTTGACTTTTCCATATTTAGGGTGCTAAGAGCCTTAAGCACATCGTTTTGGTCGAAGTCCACGGTAAGCAGCTGGTTTGTTGACTCTGTAATTGGGTCTGGTTCTTTCTCTAGAGGAGATTCCTGAGTGAAAACTGCCCCAAAATAGTCAGCCATAACCTCAGCTTTTTCCTGATCTTCCTCTATCAGTTCAGATTCACTTCCTACTTTAATTAGGTTGGGAATCCAATGATGAATCCTTGTTCTGTAGTTTATGTACGAGAATATCCTCTTGGGCTGCTTGAGTGCAGATTGTGACAGCTGCATTTCAAATTTTCTTTGCGCTTCCCGAATTTTAGTTATACACTCGTTTCTTATCGATCTGTAACGTTCCAGCGTACCTGCTGTGCCAAGGCGGATGGCAACGTCCCAGCATTTCTTCTTTTGTCTTAGTAAGCGTCGAATATCCCGCCCTATCCAGGGATGTCCGTGCTTCTTTTTCTTTGGGACAGTCCAGGGTATGTATGGTTGAGTTACCCGATTATATAACAGCCTGAATAGAGTCCATGCCTCTTGTACTGATGCCTTTGAATCAATTTCCCAGTTCTCAGCCGATGCTGCGGAGTTAATTGCTTGCATATCTGCCTTCCATATGTTAGGACGGGCCGGCGCAATTGTTTGACAAGCAATCTCAACCATGAATTTGAATAAGATGACTGCATGGTCACTTCTCCCAAGTGGTGGAAGAAAAGCCGTTTGACCAACGTCATCGCCGTGCGTGAAGACTAAATCTAAAATAGAAGACGAGTTTCTTAAATCGTATCTTGTGGGATCTCTAATGTGTTGTAATAATGCTAGTCCAATCGACGTTTCTAAAAGTTTGGAGTCGAAAGACGATATGGCTGGCCCTACTTCTAAGTTTACCCAGTTTATATATGGTGCATTAAAGCCGCCTAATACAAGGCTTTTACCGTTGTTACACCAGGACTTAAGTTTACTTAGGAGAAAATCATCTGCTACACTTTCTGGACTGCGATAAACTACAACTACTTCAATATCTTGCCGTCGGCATTTCAACTTACATCTCACTAGTTCACATGTCCCTGAAACATGTGCTACTGTCTCAGCTAATCTTATGGTTAGGGTACTTTTCGTGTACACAATAACCCCGCCTCCCCTTCGGTTTAATCTATCAGCTCTACTGGTTATGAAACCAGTCAACTGGATTTCACTATCTAATACTTCTGACGTTAACCAAGTTTCCGAGACAGCGATAACGTTTGGCTGAAAAGTATGACATGGTTCTTCAGAAACATCACATTGAAATACAGGACGGTGTCAATCTTTGGCATTGCAATTACAGAAACAGAACCCCTACCCGGCTTTGAATCGGTTATTTTAAGATCTATTCGCTAGGAAGTCATGCATTCTATGTCTGACATGAGTTAGGTAAGCCCAAACTTGGTCGTCTCGTCTTTTGTAGATTGGAGTGGGTTTGTATCGTTGGATAGACAGTGTTGGCCAAAGCAAGACGTGACACAAGTCATAAATTCACTGGCGTTTTATCTCAGTTATTTTGGTAGTTGAGTTGGAGGTCCGCGCGAGATGTTGACTAATATAAACCATTCGGTATAAGTCTCACTTACCAATGTTCACTCACATTTCGCCACAAATTTAGGGTTTAAACACTACTTCATACTCCTCGTTTCACGAACTAATCCTTTAATCGACTGATTTTACATTTTAATAATTTCATCTTTCCTTCCTGCTGTGGTGTAACAACATGTAGTGATGTATATTTGTGCCAGCGCTCATGGTTTCATTAGCTAGCTAGTTGACCAGTTCACATCAGAGTCTATTACCTAGCTTTTAGAGAAAGATGTGCGACAACTGACGCATTCGCCTTCAAATTAACAAAGTTTGTTTTTTCATTTATTTTGACGTTTTCGTCTTAATGTGTCTTACCCATCTCAGAGATAAAGTTTACTAAGCTACCATAGTTTATATAATCCAGTCTGCTCATGTCCATGTTGTATCCAAGATAGATTACGAATATGTTGCGTGTCCACTAGTTTTAGATTATTGCTTTATGTGATTCAATTACTACAAAATAACTGTTTACATAAGCCGTCAGACGTGGCGCTTTCTAAAGCTAAACTTAAGCTGTAATAAATTACCATTAGTGAGTTCGTGTTTTATGGTCTTTTTTGTATATCAGCCTAAAACACATTATCAAATCTATTCTGGGTTGAGTCTTAGAGATATGCGGGAGGACATTGCAACACCGAATGTTTGTACTTAAGAAAAAACAGTAACGTGCTGGTATAGTATTTTAAATTTTAGCCACATATATCCGGAAATGTGACTAGTTTTCATTTCAATTATTGTAAACAACTTACGGTTCGGAACAAAATGTGCACTGTTTCAAATTACTACAGTTTCTCTTAGTATGGAGATGAGGAGTTTAACAGGATGAAAAAAAGTATCTCAAAATATTGATAACAATACTTGAGAAAAAATAATCCTAAGGAACAAAATTTGTAAGGAATTATTAAATTTCGGAAATTTTAATGAAGAAGTGATTATATAATATGCAAAGTAGAACACATGAGCAAATGCACTTGTTTGCTTTAATCAATCTCGAGTCAATTCACAAGTTTTTTAATCATAAATTGCAACTGGAGATTAGAGAACAAGTGGGAAACTGTACTTTTTAACATGATGGCGTCCGACAGTTCGTAAATTTATGGACTGTGTCTACAATTTTATTATATTCTGCTCTTATGTCACTTACATATCGTTTAGGTGCTTTATGGTTTGATACAAAACCTTATGAAAGTTTGTAATGCTAATAAATCATTCATAATTTTTACATAACAGCCTACACGTGAAAAATAAACTTACGTCTAAATTTGTCATGAGTGAGTCAGTAGTTTCACCATACTTAGAAAATGTCCTAAAGACGTCTGTGACTGAATGGCTATCTTGTTTGCGAAGTCCCATAACCATAAAGCAATAGAAAAGAAGTTGTCACTCAGAAAAACAAAGTTCTGTCTGCGCTATGGGATGGCACAAGTCAGCAACTGTTAAACAGGGTTTTTATATGTGTCAGTGTTTTTAAAATCAACTCCCCAAGACCTAGGAAACTTTTGCGCCGGA